CCTTCCTTCCCTTGGCTGTTGGCTCCAACTCTAAGTCAAAAGGCCCCATCATTTTTTTCTTTTGATGGACTTTGAGGTTGGGAGAGCTTTGGGTCCTTTGGGTCCTGGGCTTAGCTGGATGATGAAAGGAGCAGAGGTGAACCTGAGATTCTCTGTACCCTGCACAAGGGGGAGAGCATGAATTAAGACCACTTTTCCCCAGTCTACTGCCATCAGAGTGACAATCTTCAAGATCATTAAACCTGCATCTTGCTGATATTGGCCAATTATTACCAAAAAAAACTCTAGGGTTCCTCACTAACAATGTCTCTGCTTCTCCTTCCCATATTACCGAAGACCCATGTTTTAATACCATAGAAATAGGTAGGTAAATATTGGAAATAAAACTGCATCCCAACTCATTGTTTTCTCTGTTCCTTCTGGTTATGCCAGTGAAGAGATTAAAACTTGGAGGAAAGTGATTAAGAACTGGGAGGTCAAGATTAGTGAAAGCTGGAAAAGCTTCTGGTGGTATGAAAATATGGAAAGAAAAACCAATTCAACAGAAATGTGAATTGGGAGACCACCGAGGAGCCTGTAGAAATATTTTAATGATTGTGAACTTGGGATTTCTCAATGGCTTCCAGGCCATGGAAATACTGATTCTACTGTGCAACACTTACTCACCACACCCTGGTCATAAAAACTAGATGTGTGGAAGGAGGGGGGAAGAGGCCTTCATTTTCTCCCCTTGGGAGGGAGCTCATGCTTAGACTATTCCTGTCTCCTGACTCCTGCCAGAAGTCTCAGCAATGCCATAGCCTTGAAGAGCAGTGAAAGACCCCAAAGAGTCATGGAAGGGCTCATTAGCTTGGTATCTAGAAGAACAATTAAAAGTTGAGGTAAAACATTTTCAGAATGTTTATCCCATTGGGAACTTAGAAGAATGTGGAACTGCGGTGGCTGCTGAGAAGTAGGTGGCTGGGAGGGGGGCAAGGGGGTGAGTAAAAAAAGCACACCAAGAGCAAGTAATTGACCTCTGGGGATTCTTCGGTTCTGCAAAGTATCAGCTAAGGCTGACAAAGTAAAACCTCCGTTCCCAGGAAGAAGATGGACAACTGCTCCAAGGACTTCCTGAGAGATGTGCTGCCTCCCATCCAACATAGGTTCTGTGCACAAGGTGAGCACTCGGCTTCGGTGAGTGACCCAGGGCAGGTTGTGAGGAGGTCCAGGGGATGCAGCCCAAATCCCTGGGGGCAGCCAGGACTGCCCTGGGATCCCCCCTGTGCTTTTCTCAGTGGTTGTTGTACCTAGAGGCTCTTCGATCCTTCCGTTGACCTAGACAAGTAACTCCTCGTTTGTGAGCCAATCAGTAGAGTCCTTGGTCTTGGTCAGTGACCCAATCCACAGCATAAACCGAAGTGCTCGGCATATACAGACACACATTCAAAGAGCTAAGGAGTAGAGATGAAAAGAGATAAGCTCTTTTCTTGGCCGCAAAGCAAGTCCACTATGTTGGAGTTAAGGAAGAGGAAGGAATGGAGAAGGGCTGGGACTGTTGTAAGAACCAAAGGTAGACGTAGACTCCCTCTTCTCTCAGTTTTGGCCCCTGATCTGGTTGAAAACTTGGTGTTAGGGATTACCTCACACTAGGAAATATCTGGGACCAACTTTAGATAGAAGCACATGCATGTATCAGATGTCTACAAGTCTTTCAGCCTTGACCCAGAGGTTCTTCCATTTCTACCAGTATGGCCCCTTTCTTGTCTCAAGTCAGCCTAGTCCCAATCACTGACACCTCCCCATATAGTTATGTATGATATGAATGCTTTGATTCCCAAACCCAGTAACCCGTAATATTTTATTGCCTCTAGTCCTACTAAATAGAGTGATCAAAAAGTGAAGAAGTTTTTCCCTTTTTATACTGCTTTAAACTACAGCTTAGGTATATTCATTTATTGCAGGTCTGTAGAGCTGGGAGAAATCTTGGTGTTTACCTAACTTGCTCACTGTGCAGGCAAAGACAATATGGCTCAGAAAGGAAGGGCTTTCTAATGATACCTGGGTGGCTTATTGGTACAGGTTGAAACCCAGGTCTCCAATCTACATACACCTTAAATCTCACCTACTTTTTTTCCAAGAAGCAAATGGGCTGGTTGTTTCTTTGCTTTTACTTCTACATATCTGCCTGGCTATTTACATATTCCGACTCTAGGTCTTCAGTTGCCAGACTTGAAATTTGAGCTTCCTTTGAAAACTCTGATAAGATCATAACTCGTGGTCTCTGTCCTCTTGCCAGGCTGGCTTCCTGAACAGGGGGATGAGGCTGTATTGGTCCCTGTCACGCCAGCACCTGCCCCTGGAACAGACACTACTCAGTGCCCAGGAAATGTTAGCACTAAGTCACGTAAAGTATTATCCCCAAATTGATCTCCAAATTATCTCTAATTATCCCCAAAATTGGAAGACAGAGCTATTTACTAATAAAAATAGTTTATCATCATCTAAAAACAGCATCAAAATTTATTGAAAAAAAGCCCTTGGTTTCCCCATCTGTAAAAGGAAATGGATGGTAAACATAACCTATATGATTTCTTTCATTTATAATATTTTTTATATTCTTATATAGTAAAAGAGCCCCTCTGGAGGGGCTCTTGATCCATGACAGTGACTCTGAAGGTGAGCATTCTGGATGTTGTAGCAGCCTCTGGATCACAGTAGATCAGAACTGATTTATTTCCTCTGCTGATAAAGGACCAGGCTCTGTGGGCCTCCACAGGCTCCCTGGGCCATGTTCAGAACCCCAGCCACCCTCCAGCTTCTGGGCTCTGGCCCCAGAAGCCAGCCTCCAACCAACCCTGAGATCCTAAAGCCAGTTTCTAGTCTTAGCAGTTTCAACAGTGACACCTTCCAGCCACTGCAGGGCCAGGGGTGAATAGATGACCTGTTCCATCCAGGTTCTCTGCTCTCTCCCTCCACAAAGAGCGGGGGCCACTATTTCCAGCCAGAAGAAATCTGAATTGGATTATGCGTTTCAATTCTACTGTATTTGAGTCTCCCCCTGGTTTTAACACTGATGTGTTGCATTTGTCTTCTGTTTGGCTCTCATTTAATTCTCACAGATTGTACCAAAGATCCATTTTTTAAAATAGTTTATGTGATTCTGTGGCACTGCTGATTTTCTAAACACAAATTCCTAACATTGAAAGGGAGCATGTCCACTCTAGCTGGGTGGCTCAGTCGCCCGGAGCATCACCCTGTGCACCAAAAGGTTCCCAGTCAGGGCACATAGCCAGGTGGTGGGTTCTGTCCCCAGTTGGGGCTCATATGAGAGGCAACCAATTGATGTTTCTCTCTCACATCGATGTTCCTCTCTCTCTCTTTCCCTTCCTCTCTCTAAAATCAATAAAAACATATCCTTGGGTGAGGATTTAAAAATTTTTTAAAAAGGGGCGGGGGGGAAGCATTTCCTGGAACCTGGTAGAACACATAGTGCCTCATAGACACAAAAATATTTTTAATAGATGAGTTAATTTATGAATTACTTTAAGAGCAGAAAATATGCCTTGAGATTACATTTGTATTAAGAAGAACTGATGGCATTTAATTGTTTTTATAGAGGGCTGGTTGACATGTCGGAAGGGAGAGAGCCCAGAGCAACCTTAGCTGAAAAAGGAGAATTCACTCCCTCTGAGGAAAATTCAGTGGATTTCTGCCACTTCGCACTCAGTAGTGATATGTAAGTATCATTGGTTTCCAAGTGCCCTCATTACATTATTTTGTTAATCATTTCTTTAAACGTCTAAATAAATGCCTGCAACTTCCTATATAAACTGCACATTATTGAGAAGGAAGGTATAACTGCAGTGGTCATTTAATTCAGCTGCAAATTTAATTAACCAACTAGTAACCTTGTTCGTCTCTTTCATAGCGCTTGGAACAAGTGGACTTAATTCTTGTCATCATTAATTTAATCTGTGTTCCTGGTTACCTTATAAGAACCAAGGGAAAAAGACTTGTGCTTCTGTCTTTCCCGTTCACAGACAGGTGTCTGAGGTCTAGCACAGTCCCTGGCACACACAGGGGCTGAACAGAGAGTGTTTTAAAATATTTAAACCTCACCTGACTGATGGGCACAGTGAGAACTATAGGAGAGGACACCGTTCTCGGCAGTAACCTAGACTGGGCCCCAGAAGAAACGTGAAGAGCGATGGGATCCAGTCTGTCAGGAATGACACGGAGGGACCGGGGCCTTCGTGGTCTCAAGCGCTGATTCTTGCGCTTGGCCAGCTGCCCCCTCACTGCAGACTCTTGTGCTCCACTCTCCCCCCCGCCCTCTGCGTCCTGCACC